AAAAAAAAAAAAAAAAGCAAACAAACAGAGTCAAAGACAAGAGACATTAGGGAAAAAATATGCTGTAGAAAATGTTTACTAATATTCTGGACCACCGGCTAACTTTCAGGTTGTGCGTGTGTGTATGTGTATGTGTGCACATATGGGTGTCTCTCTGCAGAGATAAAGAAATCTGAGTGTATATGATTTTCTATGTGTGAAAATGGACAGGTGGTACCTGTGTGACTTTCTGCATGGGGTGTGTGCATATGTGAGCACAGGAATGTGGTGGCGTAAAGTGTGTATGGCTTTCTGTGTGTGCGTGCATTCCCATACACACCCAGTCACCTTCCAGTTGGAGTTAACTGGAAGTAGACAAAGGACACAAGTGCACGGTTCAAGGAAAGAAAATGTAGCTGGCCTTGAGAACCTCTATCAACTGGTTCAGGCACAGCCCAGATCCTAATCCACAGCCATTGACTCCATTCTGACCCAGCGTGACCCCCTACGGCAGAGAACTGCTCCCTGGCGCTTGCAAGACCATCAATCTTTATAGTAGTGGACAGCTTCATCTTGCTCCTGCACAGCAGCTGATGGATTTGAACTGCCAACCTTTAGGTCAGCAACTTAATGCTTAACCCATGACACCACCAAGGCCCCTTCAACCATGCTCTGAAAGATGCAAGTTAGCATTATATTGCAACATTATTTTCACCCATCCCTTAGCACAGATCAAAACATTCGATGACATCGTCAAGTACAGGCATATATCTACCTTTCTGCAATCGTACATTAAGCTATAAAAATTAAAAAGTAATCCACCAGATGAAGCCCACATAACTACAGCCTGTTCTAAGGAAACACCAGGACTAGCTGGTACCCAGCTACCATGACTGATCATTCTGACTAGGGATCTAATAAAAGTTTCCACCGAGGACAAGCAGAAACGGTGCCAAAGAATTCAAATCCCTAGAGAAGGCCAGACCTGTTGGACTGATAGAGACTAGCAGAACCCTTGAGACTATCACCCAAAGACACTCTTTGAACTTGGCAGTGAAGATACTCCTGGAGGTCACCTTTCAGCCAAATATTAGAGTAGCTTA